TATAAAATAATAAATGCATATTATACCGCATATTTTGGTGTTTTTTAGTGCATACGTATGCACATATTTCATGGTTTTTTAGCGCATAAAGTTCCGAGCCCTGGTAATGATAAATCAAAACAAATTATATACCTTAACACAATGGTATAATAAGAAATTTATTCTGGGGAGTATTAAAATTGTTTAATAAAAATCTATTAACCTAATATAATTTCTAAAGAAACTTCAAAGTTGAATTCTATAAAAAACAAGAGTCCAACCAAAAAATCTAATATTCAAACGATTTCAAGCATTCCAATCAATTTTATTGCGTATCATTGCTAAAGCTCCCTGGTACGTAACGAACAAATCTCTTCATGATGACCTCCAAATCAAAACCGTTCACGACACTATAACTGGACTACAATTCCTCTTTCAAGTTATTTAAAGCCGTTTTTATTAATTAGTTGCCACATCACATTTACTTATTGTATATAATGTACAGATTGTAAATTTTGAATGAACGCATTTAAACGAATTAAAACATTTGAAACTCTAAGATCTGAAGATGAATTTAAAAAAATATGGAAACAATATGGAAAGGTATGTGGTTACAAACTCCATTAACTGGTGAATATATTTTGTAATTTTTATCATTTCTTTTATATTTTCTAACCTAAATAATACATAAAAAATATAGGATCAAAGCGTCGTAGAAGAGAGTCAACTAGCCTTCATGACTAAGTATTAACAGCTATCACGGCGGTAGATAATAATTCATCATTAGCAAATGATGTAGAAAATAATTGGAAAAATTCTACATATTTTAATTAAGGACAGTATTATTTTTAATCCTAAATATAGTTTTTCTGATGAAAGCTTGGCTATATCTAGTTCGGTTGGTTCATTTTGTAAATTAGATATGTACAACCGATTAAATTAAGTTTATTAATCATTATAAGGTAATTTGGTAATATATATATAAATACATTTTACTTGTATAAGAGATTAATGATAACAAATTAATTATAATTATAGGAATTACTAAACATTTCAAAGAATAGCTTAGAAGCAGACATGAGAGTGGCATTTTATGTTTTATGTAATAAAGTAATGTAGTAGTTTCAATATAAATGATGTCAAAAAGATTGCCGAAAAACAAATATTTCCAAACATTTTTAAACTTTTACAAGTGGCTTTATCGATTCCTACAAGTTCAGCCACCTGTGAAAGCAATAGCGTATTTGAGAGTATAGTGATGGGGGCAACCGCCCCCCCCCTCGAACATTTTAGATCAAGACAATTTTTATATAAGTAATGGGTATTTTATTAAGAAACAAAAACTATGATTTATTTTATAGTATTACTACATTTGAAAACATTTCAAATTTTACACTAATTTAAATAACGCAAAACGATACAATTTTCATAACGTTTTAATTGTTAAGAACGGTAAACGGAAATAAATAATACGATAAATAATATATATTATTTTGATTGAAGACCCAGTCCATACTTAGTGAAAAATTAGATAAAACACAAGCGAAACTTTCAAAACACAGATAGGTGTTAAAAAAGAACTACACAAAAGACCATTCTAAGTGGATCCGGCATTAGATTGAAAAAAAAAAAAAACCACAAATATTAAGGATTCACCTGATATAAATATTACCAAAAATTTTACTTGTAAATTTTGAGCCTGAATTAAAGAAAAAATTTGAGTCCCCCAACCCCCTATAAGTAAGTCTAAATACGCCCCTGTGTGAAAGGTCGTACTCTTCAATGAGACCAATAAAATATTGGCTTAGATCTTCCATGTTCCAAGATCGATTTAAAAATTTATCTATTTTAAATATAGAGGGATGTAACCAACAAATTAGACAAAAATGAAATTGTAAATAAATTTACTGAAAAAAATAGAAAAATAATGTTAATTTAATTAGGCTTTATAATAAACATTTAATAGCTATGAACTGTATATTTTATTGGTTATATATGCATATTATTCTTATTCATATTTATTTAGGTAGCTAGTCTGTAAGTAGAAAGTGACTAAGTGACAAAATTTTACTTCAAAAGAATCTATTAACGACTATAGTTACGTATACGTACAGTATACGACTAGGTCGTAAGGACTTCCAATCAATATAAATATAAATGTTAGTGTTGACAATCAATATCGGGGGTTTGGGAGTGAAGCCATTTACTAATTTATACTGGGTTCCTATACAAATATATTTTATCACTTTCATGTACTCAAGTGCATTGTGAATGGTCGCCTTCAAAATTAAAAATTTTTGAACCAAGAATTAGGTTATCATTGAATCAAGACCAATTAGAGTCTCTTCTATTAATTAATATTGAAGGTGACATAATTCCTCATATAGAAGAAATAATAATCTGTTATGTAAATTCGTCTTCAGAATTATAATCATTACTTTACTATTTAACTATATTAATTACTACTATTTATTATTTATTATAATATTTAAATAAATAACATAGAATATTTTATTTAATATTATAATAAATAATAAATATCAATACAAATATCTGTTTATGTTATTTTATAGTATAGGTATGCATCAACACTAATATTAAATAGGTATCATTATAGAAATTTTTTTATTTATTTTTATCATTATACCCAAGGGGTAAAAGTTTAAATGGAACCTAAAGTAGAATAAGGTATTTACAAAAATAGTTGGGTACATATACATTTTTTTGGAAGAGGTTTTAGAAGTTCAAAACAATTATCTAGTTATATTTAAAAATGTTAAACTGTAAAAAGTCATATTACCATTTGCTATTGGCTTCATTGATGAAGGACCATTTTATTTTTCAGCCGACCAAAAAAAATTTACCCAGGCCGCCACTGACAGCATGGTCTTAGAAGATAAATCTATATTAGATTTATATTATATCTTCTATGACCGTGGACAACAGTGAAGCAAACAAATAAGTCAGCCGCTCGGTTGTACAAATATTAGTTTTTGTATATTATCTATGATAACATCATAGAACATATTATGTAATATAAGATGCCTCGTATAATGTTAATTAATAATTGTATGTTACATTGTCTATACCTAATTTTTATATTGATTGATTGTGTAATAAATCCAAAATATATGTACATTGCAAGGTTGATTTTTGCCACTGTTTAAGTATCAAATTATTAATTTTTTTTGCTCCCAAAATACTCTAGTGCTATTATTGACAAAATAGCACCCACCATAAAACAATCCTAGATCCGTCATTGTATGACTCATATATTATGCGTATAATACACAGATTTCTATGTTATGGACAGATAGTATAATATAGACATCTGTGTTGTAATAACGAATTAAGATCACAATTTAAGATATAAATGGAATTAAGAAATATAATTATAATTCGTGGGTGTAATACAGAGACGTCTGTAGCTATCACAATAGATAACAGAATAATTATTCTATTATCAATGGGCTATCACCACACGTGCTGAAAACTGACAAGATAACATTTCAAAGAAAAGTTTAATATCGAGGAGTGAAACTAAAATAAAAAATTTTAAAAAGAAGCAAGAAGTAAGTGATCAATTTAGTATTTAAAAATATTTATACTTTCTTATTGCTGTTATTTAAGTTGTTTTCAAAGTTTTTACAGTGTCAGTCAAATATTAAAATATTCTAACATTTTTCTAAACTGACTTGTTAATAAAACTACTTGTTATTTTATTATATACCTACACTTATTATACTTATATACTTACATATTTTTGTTATTATAAAATGTTATTGTTACCTAAAGCATCATTCCCTAAATATTGTAAAGCAAATAAAATATTTACTTTACCATGGGTTAATTTTCTTATTAAACTTCAGACAGCTAAAATTTACTTTGAATTAGTGTATATAATTATAAATATAATTTAAATTTTTTTAAACACTTATACTATGCCTATAATATTTAAAAATACTAATCATTATATTCTGTCTAATTCCTGCTTATTAATTGTTTCTAGTACTAGTAGACATTTGTATCAAAAAGATTTAAAAATTAGAAAATGCATTTGGTCAATCTTGTTTTTAGCATTATATTATTAATAATTAGAAAAAAATTTTAAATAAAAGGTTTTTTGCTTCTCTACTTTTTTCTTTGAATTATGTTTTCTTTTTTCTACCTCGCCTTTCTCAACTATTTTGGGTTACCCACCTTTATCCTAAACCTCCACTCTCCTCAATTTTTTACATGCCCTACATATGCACCAACAACTCATGTAAATCTCAATCGTATCCAACCATCTTTTTTTGGTCTTCCTTTTTCTCTTTTCCCTTTAACGTTCATTTTCATAACTACTCTTACTGCTTTTGTTTTCTCTTGCCTCATCACATGCCAAAATAATCTCAGTCTATTTTCTCTTATCATGTCCACTATCAATGCTACACCAATACTACCTCTCACATAATTGTTCCTTATTTTATTTTCTCTGGTCAATCCACTCATCCATCTAAGCATTCTTATTTCTTCAACACTCATACTCTGTTCTATTCTCCTAAATGCCCAACATTCTGAACCATACAGCATTGTTGGTCTCATTACACAACTATAAAATTTACCTTTTAGCCTCATTGAAATTCTCTTATCACATAAAAAGCCCAACGCTTCACTCCATTAAAGTTGTCAACTTCGCCTATCACATCATCACTTATTGTCTTTGGTCTCATCTTCCTCCAAAGTCATATTTTATATAATTTGTATTATTTATACTAATTCTCAATCCTTTTCCTTAAAGGACTAACCATCACTCATCCAACCTATTATTAACTTATTCCAGATTTTTTTCTTATATAGCTATATCATCATCAAACATCATACACTATGGTATCTCATCTTGTATCTCTTTTGTAACTTCATCCATTACCTTAGGGAACAAATAAGGGCTTAAAGCCAACCCCTGATGTACACCTACTTCTACGTTAAATTCTTCTGTTACTCCATGCAAATATTTATCTTTGAATGATGTATAATTTAAAAAATCCAAAATAATACATTAACCTTAGTTTTCTATAGAATTTTAAAATCCTTAAATCAAAAATTTATATTATTATTATAATATTTTACTTGGAAAAATAAATTAAAATTTAACGATTAATTCATTACTTTTCACCAATATTTATCTTATACAGTTATACATTCAGTGTATACTACCTAGTCATTTACAATTTATAAACAACAGCGTTTATTATATTATCAATTACTATAAATATACAGATATGTAACTAAATACAAAGGTTAATGGTTATTCAAATTTCAGATATACTTCATTAATATTTTAATAAATATTACCTAATCAATGATTTTATTATAATATTTTTAATTATCTTATATTGATCGATTATTATGTATGAGTTTATGTACATTAGTTTATGTACATTGAATGTTTTAGATAATACTAAATGTCGATGATTTTGGCAAGTGTATGGAAATATCGAATAAGTCACAGAAATTGTATTGCCCACATAAAACATATACAAATTCAAGCAATGTCTTCTGATAGAAAAAGAATTGGACAAGAGAACCAATCAAATAATAATGAAAGTAATTAAATGTCTTGAAAATGTTAATATTTACACAGACTATATGAAATATACATATATTTCATATAGTATATGGTATTTATCTTATTTTATTAAAAGTTAATTTAAAATTATGTTACTCCATTTTTATCATTTTTAGTTTTAGATATCTGTTAAAATGAAATAAAATTATGTATCAAAGGAAAAAAAATTAAATGTTTGAGTTTAACTTTGAATAATTATAAATACTATTTTAAAAATTTAAATAAATTTGTATAGATCTTTTCTTTGGCTATCAGATTTTAATGTATAATTTGATGTACATTTTATACATTTTATGTACACAACTGTAAAAATACTATATAAGTTATAAATTATAACCATACAATTTTATAATGTACATCTTATAATAAACAACTTACCTGTAAAACAACAAATGGTATTTTTCAATAGTATTACTACTGTAGTTACAATTAATTGTTTGATATATCAGATAAAATGATAATTTTAACTGATTCTTCAATATAATTGTTAATGGTTTTTACTGTAATTTAAAGAAATAATATTTTATTAACTAATACCTATTAATTCAAATATTTGTAGGTGTTCTTAAAATTACCATTGGTGATGTAAAAAAACTTACCAAAGCATCAAAAACTCCAGAACTTGTCCCTATTAATTATTGTAAGTATACTAAAATATATTTTAATGTTTTTTGTACAATTTTTTATTTCTTTTGTATGTTTATTGTTTAAATATCTAAACACTACATTAATTCTTTAAATATAACCAAGTCCTAAATGTTTCAATTATAAATATTTGGCCATTCAAATAATTTTATTAGTAATATATTATACTTATAATTTATAATTTATTTTTATACTTATAATTATATTTATTATCATAAAATTATTTTTTATAATATTGTACATTTTAAAGCAATGTATGAATTTAAATTTAAAACCATATTTTATTTTGATTAAAGTAAACATGAATTGCAACCAGGAAGCTATGTCTCATTTACGATGGATGCTTCAAAAAGACATTCTTGGTCAAGATATATTTTTGATTGGAAAACCTGGACCTCTGAGACGCCGTTTAGCTTTAGCCTATTTAGAACTTACTAATAAGTCTGTTGAATTTGTTTCTTTATCTCAAGACACTACAGAAGCAGATTTAAAACAACGTAGAGAAATTATTGGTGGTACTGCAAAGTACATTAATCAGGTAAATTTTATAAAAATAAAAAAAAACACCTTCATGATTTATACTTGTGCATTGAATTGCTCTAATAGAGTGCTGTTAAAGCTGCAATTGAAGGGCGCGTATTGATTCTTGATGGAATTGAAAAGGCTGAGCGTAATGTTTTACCGATTTTAAATAACCTACTAGAAAACAGAGAGATTCATTTAGAAGATGGTAGATTTTTAGTAGCTCCTAAAACATATGATAAACTATTACAAGTAAGAATAAAAATATAATTTTTTTTAGTCAATGTAATATATATGTATTTTACTTTTAGGAACATGGTCTAGAACACATGATGAAATGGAATCTTGTCCGTGTCAGTGAAGATTTCTTTGTGATTGCACTAGGTTTACCTGTACCTACATTTAATGGCATTCCTTTAGATCCTCCACTGCGATCTCGATTCCAAGCCAGACATATTATTATACCATCCTATACGGTAAGTTAATATTTTATAAATTAAATAGTGAAATAACATATTCATCCATATCTTCCAGGAGTATAATAGTTCATATCCGTTTTTAAAATAGTGCCATGTTCGAATTCTATAAAAAACTATTTTTCAATGAAAAAATCTTATCAACATTTTTAAATATTTATATTCAGTATGCTTATTGATTTAACAGAAAAATATTAAAAATATATTTCTGGTTAGTAATACAGGTAATATAAAGCAATTACTTTAACAATTTCAATTAAAATTTATAATTTACAACAAAAATCTCATGCATTTTTAACATCTAATTGTTAAAACATAAAAATATATTATATGAATAATAAATTATTTTGTTATTTTCAATATATACATTTTTCGATTAAAATAATTTTTTATTTGTAATATAATTTATAATTTTTTAATTCAAACTAAACTTGTCATTTACTTAACAAGTGTTAATTAACAAATACACTTAATATTTAATAACAGTATAAGAGTATAAGAGCTATTAGCTAAATTATATTTATAGACTATGGCTGATTCAAATTATTATTTACTCTAGAAAATTAATATTGGTTATTAACTCAGAATCTTAATAAACCGATTTACCTATATTTGCATTAAAATTCTAAAATACCATCAATGAATTAAAATTATTAAATGTTAAAGTTTTTATTTTTATTTATAATATGTTAAATAATAAAAAATACTTTATCTATTTCACCTTTATGGAATTTGAAAATTTGTGAAAATTATAGAATTCCCAACATGAATTAGTCAAACTGTAATTTTCGATCACTTGTATACATTACTTTCATTATTTTCTTTGTTGTACATCAATTTAGTACTACAAATTAATTTATACTTCAGTGCAAATTTTTGGGAGACCTAATATAGTAAATCGATAGTACGGCTAATCTATTAAAATGCTATTTATACTTAAAGTTTTCAATTGCACAGAAAAAAAATACATATATATAACCTTACATGTTGTATTTCTGAAATAAGTTTTCGGCTCCTTTCATATTTGAAAACAATTTTATTTTGGTAATTCCTCGTTATGGTCTTTCATGTTTTCCAATCAACTAAGATCGGTGGGGTATCCATAGCAGTGTTGGAAATTGGAAACGAAAACAAGTAAATACATTTGCATCGAAATATGCCTGCTAATCATGGCCGTATTCTCTACCCTGGGGCAATAACATTTAAAGTGTAAAATTGAAAATAAGTGTCTCCAATTATTAATTAAAAAGCCGCTCGAAATTAATTTTCCCCTTTTTAGTACACTATTACACAATATTTGTAATTAATATCAAATCCAAAATAATAACAGAGTTATAATTACATAAATAAAGTTATTGACAATTGTCTTTTATAATACTGATGGTAGTGTCCTTAAATAATTTAGTATCTTTCGGTCCCATTCCTACACAAATCAAGATTAAACCAATAATCTCAATAAAATACTACGTCAAGTAAAATACTCTTAAATAGATATCCATTTTGTACGTTACTAAATAATATAAATTCTTTTATAATACAACATTTAATTTTTATGTAGTTTTATTTAAAATTGATTTTATTTTATTTAGAATCACCGTAGAAACACTGCTAGCCCCTTAAATATTTTAGGGAGAGGAGCTATTTCTTCTCCAAACCACCCCTTGAATACGGCCTTGCTGCTAATGTTATCTAATTTTGATTTTCTTGCCGCTCGGTTCGAACGCCCGATCCTCGACGGTGTGAACAATAATATGTCAACGCGTCTATCGTATATATATACCCAGTGCTCGACTAGGCAAAATGAAAGAAGGGCATCTCTATTTTAAAAAATAATAGCGTCCCCAAAACTTGTTTAGCGTTTTAATAATAACGTAACAATAGTAGGGGTACGCTAAAATTTTTGAAAATTAGTTGGGGTACTCCGTCCCGTCCGCAAGTCGAGTACTGTTCCTAAACTAGACACGTGCGATAATAAAACGACAAATGCGTGCGATGGTTACCCGGTACAATGAAATAATAACAGTATTATGATGTTCACGATAAACGATGCCAGATCTCGCCGTGACCGTCTGGGCACGTGGACGGCATGTGCACGTGCAACTCGGTTTTTCGATGGTTTTTCGCATTGCTCGCGCCGGAGGACTTGGTGGTGGACGGTCTCCCGGTCACCTCGGCCACCTGTTGGTGCACGAACTTGTTCTCCGGGATCGAAAAAGTCTTGATCAGAGCGGGACGTCTAACACCGCCGCCGCCGTTTCCGGGCGCCGACATGGGCTTTTGGCACGTTTCCAACACGCCCCCGGACGGTTTATGCAGCCACCGGAGCACGCGGTCCACGTAACTGCCGTTGTCGTCATTGCCGTTGTTGTTGTTCCCGTTCGCGTTGACCACGGTCAACGGCGACCTGTTCGTTTTGGCGTTACTAGTGCTGCCGCCGCTGTTCTTGTGCTGCAGGCGCGACCGCTTTTCTTTTTCCGGCGGTGGCCGCTCGTCCGTCACGTCGTCATCGTCGGACATTATGACGTGTCGCACCCCTTTTACCCACGTGGTGCGAACGGCCAGTCGTCCGCGCGACGACTTCCAGCGGCAAGACTCGTACGGCCGGTCTGCCGCCGCGGTGCCTTTCATCACGTTAGGTTAGCCAGTGCGACCGGAACGGTAACCGACCCGTATCTATCTAAATTCGAAATCGTCGTGTTCGTTCCCAGCGTACAGCACGAAAGCGTGGGAGTTGAGTACAACGCGCACGCACGCGCGCGTGAACGTACAACAACCCTTGCGCACGAAACCAACTACTTCTAGACATGCACACTGTTTTCCACCCCGCAGGCATGGTGGTCTTGCGTTTTGTTTTCCACGAAACATTTTTGTCAGCGTATCAAAGCAGTTCCTTTTAATGTGACAGTGTCGTTATTATGGTTTTCAAAAACGAATGTTCGTGTATATATATATATATAGGTATGTTAGTTGGCTCTCACCGTGCTTTTACCATGGTAAAATGTTTAACGCGAGGTACGAATAAAAATGAGACATTTCCGTGACGTGCATGTACATAAACGCTGAACCCTACCGCAGCAGCAACTGTACCCGTTAGGCTTTAAAGTTCGTTTTTAATCGTTTCTAATTTCCGTCCACTGTTGAATGTAAATACCAATTAATAACGTAATGATTGCTAGTATGTATGCTATGAATATACTAGGATCCGCAATGATTCTTAAACGTGCCGTGTATCGTATTTTGTGTACACCTAAATATAGACGGTAAATCATATTCACAATACGTTTCCGTGGTTATTTTCGATTTTTTATATTTCGAATAGAAAAAAACGGAATTACCAATGTATACAAGTACATGTCTTACGTTTTTTAGAATACGACTGTCGGTACTTTCTAATGTTAAGTTATGATACTTCACATCGCGTGAGGTGAACGTAACGAAATAAGACTTATTGTCGAATATTATAGCATTTGCGATTTGTTATAAATTTTTTTTGGTGTATTTTCATTAAGAAATTATGGTAATTGTGATTTAGGTATGTAATGTACAAATGCTATTTTTACAGTAAGTTGTAAAGTTACAGAAAAAAAGTATTCTCAAAATGAAATGAATAGAAATAATGTCTTAAAAATTAATTACTTTTTAAAGTTTTCAACAAAAACTGATAAATTCCTGTGATAGTTAAAATAAATAGCATACCAAAAACAACAAAAATAATTGTTTTTGTTAATTGTTTGTCTAAACTCATGTTATGAAAGATAATTACTATCTAATGTTGATGTACTTTAGAAGTATTTCTTAACTATAAGAAAATATACGTTTAATGATTTTTTTCCAGCAAAAATTGAGTAATTTGATTATTATTAAGGTTAATATGCATACTTTAAAGCATTCACACAAAGCATAGATTTCTAATTTCTAATTATTTATTTTTCTATTTTCATTAATATGGTAAACAAGTATCCACATTTAAACTATAAATACTAAAATATACATCTAATTCGAAAACAAAAAAGGTTTTAGAATGAGTGGAATATTTAAATATATATATTGATAGTGGCGTAGGGAGACTAACTAGCGCCCCTAGCAAACTTAATAAAAAGTGCTTTTTAACCAATTAAAATTTGATACTATGATTTTTTTTAACCTATAAATTTACAATTTATATATATGTTATTATTTTGGTGTTCATTTTAAACATTGAAAATTTGCTTTTCTCGCTTTATGACTTTATTCCTTCATATGAAATTTTTTATTTAAACGCCCTTATGCTATTTTCATAATTTCATCATTAATTTCACACGTAGTGTGTACGAATAGACAGCATATACGTATTTCAAAAAGTATAACGGAAAAATTTCGATTTGATTGTAGGATAAAAATATGACTTTTGCACAATTTTGCGCCCCTTTACAATTCACGCCCCTGGCGTAGGCAGTTCGCCATACCCTTGCTATGCCACTGTTTATTGTAATTACATTATACTTCATTTTATTGATTTATATTATATTTATATAGGTAATAATTTTACAAAATAATATCATTCCGTATGAATATTTTTGCTAATTATTTCAAATTATTATTTATTATAAATATGTACCTACTCTGAATTTCATAGTGATTTATTTCCCTTTAGAAATCATTTATATTATTTAAGATTTAAACATAAATGAAAGGTATCTATTATATAATTTGAGTTTAAAATTTCATAGCTCCATTTCACGAGATAATGCTGCCTTTAAGATAAATAACAGTTGATTTAATAATTATATAAATGTTTGGTTGTTTAGAAATGTAACTACTAAAAAAGATCTTGGTTGTACAAATTTTCATTCTCCTTTTTCTGATAAAAATTGTCACTCAATATTCATATTTCTATATTATTATACCTACTTATAATTAATAAATTAAAATTAGTAAAATCACTCAATTCAAAATTAAATATAATATATTTTCATACGAAAACTATAGATTTTCTCAGGGTAAATCACAAGTATTATCAATTTTTGAATATTAAAATCCATACGAATTTTCGATCGCATATTGCATGGTAAACATCATAATAGTTGTTATTGATGATAAAACTCGGGTAGTCATATTACAAAATTGTTAAAATATTAAAAGCAAATGAAGGGTACAAGGAAAGAACGGTAGTAGTCCATTTTTTTCGATTTTGATTTTGTGGTCTGATTCGATAGCAAATAAGGAATAATATCGACAGTTGAAATTGATTCAATGAAAAAATCATTCAGTCCATAGTTATTAAATGGAAAAGATTAGGTATACTGGTGAAGAAAGATTTTAGTCTATACTTTATTTTTGCTCCCCTGAAAAATTTATAGAAATGGACTACTAACGTTTTTCCCCTGTACCTTTCAAATGCATTGCTGCTTATAGATGTTTAATGTATATAGATCATTATTTCTTTAATTCTGTCCAGAATTCTTGGTATACTTATATAAGTATCTTATGATGCTATTATTACAAATTGAATTTATATTTTAATTAAAAACTCGTTTAAAAATCATTTTCACCAGTAATTTCACATTTAAACTCATTATTTAAATATGAAGCATATTTTAATAATATTCAAAATATTATATTAAATTATTTTTACTTATATTATAACAAAAAAAAAGGATTTGTGTTTCGCAATTTTTTTTTATAAATTTGCTGTATAATTCATAATGTACACTGTAAAGTTACCTACTGTTTTGTTTCCTAACAATGCTGTATAATATATACTACATAGTATATAGTCATTTCACAATATGTATTATCACATACAAAAATTATATTATAATATTCATAACTGTGTAAAGTATGCAAATAATTATCTTAAGTTCAATTTAAATCGTACCTATAAAAATATTTGTATTCACCTCCATAAAAATACATCAACTATTTGAATGGTTGTTGTTTAATGCTTTTATGAGAAGGTTTTTTCCCCCTGAAGTGATTATTATTCCAATGTTTATAGTCTATAGATAGATTGACATAATCAAAATTTAAAGTTTAAAAGAAATCATGTTTCGGAGCCGTTAAAATAACAACTATAAAGTGGGAAAATTCGTCGAACTAAACATTGTAATCAATCCCACAGCTCGTATATATTTCCTATTTTATCGCCTTTAATAAACTTTTAAAATGCCTATAGCGTGACTAAAACTATTAAGAAAATTTGTCTAGTACCTACCTCAAAGTTTCCTGAAGTTAATTTATTGTTAATGACTTTGTAATATTTGTAATTAAATTAAAACGTCTTATTTAGAACATGCTAAACGATTTAACTGCCGAATATCCAACAGCACCCAAAGACAAATTGGAAAAAGTTCTTTCCTGTGCATATGCTTTAGCTTCGCCAGAATCCAATAAATTAGGCTTGCACAATTTTCCCATCGAAAATATCCCTATAATCGCCAAATTAATTGTGAGTAAAATGTTATTTATAAGTAATATTTATTTTGATTTTATCGTACCTACAGATACGTTTGGTATTTTAACGCTGCATGTTTTAGTTCAACAATCCGTCTGTATCACCAAGCAGTCTACTAAAACGACTTTACCCGTATGAAAGTTTTATGAACCTGGATGGTAAACGATCCGTGAATAGTATCCTTTCGTCGTTTTGCCCCGAAGATAACGATGAAGCAGTCAGTCATATTTCATCTGTTGAAAGATCAAATGATAACAGTGCCGAAGTTGTTCTTGACAATTCTAAATGTTTTACGGTATGTGTCCAAAATCGATATTATCTCCTTTGTTTATAAGTTTTAATAGACACGGAAAATAATTCGTGTTTAAGTATTGAAACTACAATTTGACTGTAATTTACAGGTACCATCTGGACAGGCGTTCATTGGCATTATATTTTCAAATTTTATAGACACCAATTATCAAAACTCCATATTGTCTGATATTGCTCTCAGTCATTCTGCAGCTGATATGTGTATTATAGGTCCTAGAGGCTGTGGTAAGACAGCCATTATAAATCGGTTTGCGACAACGTTCAACTACGATGTGGAAACCATTTCTTTATATCAGGTTTAATTCAAATTGTAATACTTTAAAATTGTACTTCAAATATTTTTTTACCCTTAGGATTTGACTGCGAGAGATTTAATTCAACAAAGAACTACTTTACCAAATGGTGACACAGTTTGGAAGTTTAGTCCATTAGTAGTTGCTGCTATTGAGGGAAAATTAGCTGTCCTAGATGGCCTTCATAGATTGCATTCTTCTACTTTGTCTATTTTACATAGGTTAATATTGTACAAAATAACATGGTTTTCAACAACTTACATATGGTTTCTGTAATATTGAAATGTGTTTCTTAGACTTATTCAAGATCGAGATCTTCAACTTCACGATGGCACTAGATTACTAAGGTCAGACAGATATGATAAGCTTGCTAAGAAATTAGGAATAGACGTTATGAAGAAATCAAACATAATTCGTGTACATCCTGCATTTAGAATTATTGCTTTAGCAGAACCACCAGGTTTGTGTAGTTTTTTTTAAAAAAAAAAATGTGTATTTACCTCTGATATTTTATTATTACTAGGTGGGACTATTCCTCAATGGATTACTCCTGAAGTATTAAACATGTTTATGTTTCATGAAATTAGACCGCTATCTGCAGTTGAAGAATTAAAGATTGTACAAAATCTTGTAAGTTTTGAATCATTTTTTTTTTTTTTTTTGTATTCTTTTTTTCCAAATACAATTATATTGATAATTTGGTATATAAAGTACCCGAATAGTGTAAAACCTATGAAGAAATTAGTTGCTGTCACTAAAAAACTACGAGAATCGAATGATATTTATTTAAATTCTTTAGCTCCATCTTTGTCTACGCGACAGTTATTACGAATTACAAAAAGGCTTGATAAATATCCAGATTCAGATTTTTACAATATTATAAACAAGGCTTGTTTATCACAGTATGTATATTTGTTATGTTTGAAATTATTTTATATAACTTTTTCTTAATTATAGATTTTTACCGCAACTAACAAAACAAATGCTTGAAAAAACATTATACAGTTGCAGTATTCAACCAATGTCTACTAATTTAAATGATTCTTCAATAAAGTGTGTATATGATGATGACAGTTTAACTATTGGTGATACAACTGTTCTTCGGTATAAAACTAATGCATCAAGCAAAGTCCCAAATATTTTATTTTATGATTTACCACAAGTAAGAATAAACCTGTTAAAAAAAATTATACTGTATAAACAATATTGTTATTGTTATTTACTCCAATGAAAAGATAATGGGTCCCACTGAATATATCCTTTATTAATTATTAATACTTTTGTGATTAAAATCTTTTAGCATTTAAAACAACTAGAATTAATGCTTCAAGATTTTGTTTTGGGAGAACATCTTTTGTTAGTTGGCAATCAAGGTGTTGGTAAAAACAAATTGGTTGACAGATTTCTACAACTTTTAAATAGGCCAAGAGAATACATTCAACTTCATAGGTATAAATAATTTATAATTTTATCATTCATTTTAAAATCAATTTATAATATTTGAATATTATTTTTTTTAGAGATACAACAGTTCAATCGTTGACTAGTCAACAAACTGTAATTGATGGTGTACTGCAAATTGAGGATTCACCCTTAGTAAAAGCTGTTAAAGCTGGTTATGTCTTAGTTGTAGACGAAGCAGATAAAGCACCAGCTCATGTGACATGTGTACTGAAAAATCTTGTTGAAACTGGCAATATGAGACTAGCTGATGGAAGAAAAATTGTTAGTAATACTGATTTTCCAAAAGATGACTCTGTTATCATTCTTCATCCAGACTTTAGAATGATAGTCTTAGCAAATCGACCAGGATTTCCATTTTTGGGAAATAATCTATTTAGTACACTTGGTATATATTCAATATTTTTTTTTATTTATAAATACTTTATTGTTGGGTGAATTCTTTAGGTGATGTTTTCAGTTGTCACGTCGTAGAAAACCCTAGTCGTGAATCTGAAACACAGTTATTGAAAAGTTATGGTCCTGATGTTTCTCTTGAAGTTATTGACCAAGTGATCTCTGCCTTTGGTGACTTGAGACAGTTGTTTGACAAAAATTTAGTCTCATATCCATATTCTACTAGAGAAGCAGTTAATATAATTAAACATTTACAATCATATCCCCAAGACACATTATTAGACGCCATTAAAAATGTATTTGATTTTGATTGCTATTCAAAAGAAGCACAAGAAATAATTACAAATGTTCTTAATAAACATAAATTACCAATAAACCTATCTCCTTGGGCAGGCCCAACCCGTAAGTATTCCAATATGTTTTAAGAGTTCAGAATTAATGAATTATATTATTACAGCAAAAAAAAATCTACAAATAACTGTGGAGAAAGAAAGTGGCCTTGACGTTTCAAGTCCTAAACATGGTAAAGTAGATGAAAAAAATGAACCTCATGTAGGTGGAAATACTTGGGCTGGTGGTACAGGTGGTCGAGATACAGCTGGATTAGGTGGAAAAGGAGGTCCATACAGACTTGATGCAAAACATAAGGTTTTTCAGGTACCATAAATAATAGATTTGTTTTTTAAAAAAAAAGTGATATAGTTGTAATACATTTTCCAATAAAAAATGAAATTTTTAAATAGGTGTCTGATGCAGAAAAAGATGCTGTTCCAGATCATGTCAAAGAAGCTGCAAGGCAAATGGGTCAAAAAGCATATAAAGAACGTCTCAAAGAAATAGAGATGTCTGAATATGATGATAAAGTATACAACGAATACTCTGTACCAGTACAAAATCAAGTAAAATATATATTTTTTCTTTTCTTTAAGTAATACATCTTATTTAAATTAATGAATTAATTAAGGTGCAAGCACTAAGAGTAATATTGAATTCACTGCAAGCAAAATCCAAAGAAAGACAATGGGTTAAACATCAAACATCAGGTGAACTGGATGATAGTAAATTGATAGAAGGTAAAAAAATTATTGTTTTTTTTTTATTTTGCTTTTATAACTTTTTTTAATAATTCTTTATTTTTTTATTAGGTGTTATTGGAGAACGTTCAATTTATCGAAAGCGTAGTAATGTGGATCCACAAATTGGAGCGCCTCAGCTAAAACCCAAACGTTTACGTTTCATTGTAGATGTTTCTGGCAGTATGTATAGATTCAATAGCTATGATGGCCGTTTAGACCGTGAGCTTGAAGCTGTTGTAATGGTGATGGAAGCACTTAGTGGTTTTGAAGACAAAATCAGTTATGATATTATTGGGCATTCAGGTGAGACAGAATGTCTTAAATTTGTTGACAAATCAAATCCACCCACTGACAATAAGAGACGGTTAGATGTAATTAAAAAAATGCATGCTCATACTCAGTTTTGTATGGCTGGTGATAATACCCTTCAATCAGTCGTATATGCACAAAAAACCTTGGAAGCTGAGCGTGCAGATTTTGATGAAGCTATAATTATACTTCTCTCAGATGCTAATTTATCGCGTTACAATATCAGGCCTGATAGATTATCAGCTGCACTTAATCTAAGTGAAGATGTTCAATCTTTTGCGATTTTTATTGGATCTCTTGGTGACCAAGCTGACATGTAAGTTTTCACTTACTTAATTTAAATTTATAAATATTTGACTTATTGAATTTGAGATCAAATTATTCTAAAATATATCCTTAATGGGATTATTTATTTGTTTTAAAATATAATTGCATTATAAAAGAGTTATATTTTATAAATTATAGGTTGACAAGAAGTTTACCAGCGGGCAAAAGTTTTGTGTGTATGGATCTTAAACACATCCCACAAATCATTCAACAAATTTTCATGTCTTCTATTATGAGTGTATTTTAATCAATTATATGTTTTATAATGATAATTTTATATGATAATGAATTGTTATTTGTTATTATTATTTTATTTTTAATTAATTATTTATTAATGAATAGTAGTTACCGAATATTTTGATTATGTACTATGTAAACAAATAAAAATTATTGTGATGGAACTAAATTTTGACCTATATCAATAAAATGAATAATAAAAACAAACATAAAAAATCGGTCAAAATGTAATATCTAATTACTGATTAGTAAATATTATCTTATCAATTAGATTATAATAGAGGTACGTAAATTGTTTACCCTTTTTCATTTCTGAAAAAGTTGTAAATTTTATTTTTTAGTTTATCGTCTACTACTTTTCTAATTTGTGATTGCGAAAAATGTGTAGTTAAAAATCAGTCTTCTCAAATATATTTTGACTATGATAGAGATCAATTTAATTTGATTTGTTTATGTAGTAGGAACCATGACACATTTCTTCTAAGTTTATAAACCAAAAAACATTTATTGTTAATCAATAATGCTCGATAATATTAAAATACGATTTTACAAATTTCTCTAGCATATAAAACTTTTAAATCACATTAAATGATATGTTTGTATAACGTCGACGAAACTTTTGATTAAACGAAAAAGATTATTCGAAAAAAAATATTTTACGATTTAAATTTAGATTTATAACTAAATGTTTTATTAACCAATACATATGACTATAATCAAGCTTGCGTGTCTTAAATCAGTAAAATAAAAAAAAGGAACACATTACGAGCGTAGGTGCGCATACATTTCTTCAAACGAACTAATGTCGGTCTTAACAATATCTTCTGTTTATAATTTTTGAGTTATAATATATTTTTACAAAAAAAAAAAAAAAAACAATTCTTAAACGTAAAAATATTACCACGGTTACATTGGTCGCCGTACCACTGAAATATTGCCTACCATAAAATGTTAGTAATAAGGCATTATTGATAACGGAATGGTTTATTTTGCAAAATTTCCATCACTTTTTTGATGATTATGGTACGATGTCCAATGCTTAACCTGTAATTGATTGATTACAATTTTTGGTCGCGGATGACCAACTGGTGTTGGATGCTCTATTGGTAGTGGCTTATGGATTTTTGAATTACGTCTGAAGTATGTAGTATGTAAGTAGTATAAGTAGTATGAATGCAAACCTTTATTATTTTGATTATAATTACATTTTCAAACTTCAAAAAACTAAAAAAAAAAAAAAATGAAAACTGGTCTGTGACTTCCGCATGAAATTTTGGGTAAAAAAAAATTTTTTTAGTTCTAAAGAGAAGCAAAATATATTGAATATAAAATTAGGTACATTTTAAAGAATTAAATGAGGTTTAAAAAATGGAAAATTGATTTATTTTATTTGATGAATATTATTTATTTAAATTTAAAAAAAATTATATAAGTTTAATTATTCTATTATTATTTTTAACACAAAGGAATAATTAAGTAGTCTCATTAATATAAATATAAATTTAGAAATAACTAAAATCAATTGTAAATCATTAATACTCAATTTTTACCGTTCATAAATAATGCCTTAACAGTTTTTCAATTTTAAATTTAAACTCAATACATTTAATTTTATTAATAAATAATTTTTTCTTCATTTAAATTAATTTTTAAAATTTAAATCAATAATAATTATCAAAATAATAAAAATTTTAATCTAAGGGGATTGCAAGCCATGATTTCCTTTCTCTTACTATTATACGCGCAATACAGGGATTTAGCCGTGTTATATTTCAAACGTATCGATTGATCTATTGATGCGATAAGAATTTTGAAAACTGATTTAAATTCGTTGTAAAGTCTTCTTTAGATCGACTTTCCCACTTTTTTGATTTTATCTTCCAAAATTACTTAAAATAGGATTAAATAAATTGGAAGCATAAAAATTAATTTTTGGGTATGTTAAGTACAAAATTTAAAAAATGTGAGGGTGTCGATCTAAAAAACACTTTATGACGAATTCAAATTAGTTTTCAAAATCCTTATCGAAGTAATCTATGCATCGACTAAAAACTACTCATATAGGCGAAACAAAAAAATAGTAAAAAACAAATAATATTGCAATTAAAATTGAAATTTATTAAATAAATGTAGAGAATTAATTATTTAACTGAAAATTAAATGAAGAAAAATTTATTTGAGTAGGTTATGAATAAATAATTTTTAATTAGGTATGGCAAGTTATACATATTATTGTTATACATGTATACGAGCCGCCGCTGGCTGAATTAAACGAGGTATAAGGTGCGTTATTCAATTTTGTGTTTAGACTCTCTTCTGTTATCGTCGCCGTATTTTTTCGACGAATATAATTGTATTTGAATTATTTATGTATCTATGTATTTGATGATAACACTTGGATATTAATTATTAATCATACGATAAATAAATTAATAAATAACTTGGATATTAATTTAAAAATGTGTTTTTTTTTAATTACATTTGATTTGATTGATTAGTTCGAGTGTGTGGTGTTTTACAATTCGAGAATTTTTGTTTTATCTTTGGACACACAGTGCTCGACTTGAAGGAGGACGCATGGGGGACAGAGTACCTCTACTAATTTTTAGAAATTTTAACGTCCCCCTACTATTATTACGTTATAATTATAACGCTTAACAAGTTTCGGGAACGCAATTTTTTTTTTAAGCAAACAGAGTCCCCCTACTTTAATTTTACCAAGTCGAGCATTGTGGACCTACATGTAGGTTAGTGATCTAATACAAAAAATAAATATCACAATATAATCTATGGTTTATTGGCGTGTTTATTTCGATAAAATATATTTTTAGTTCATTATGTTGTGTATTTAAAAAGTAATGTGATTAAATTGAAATTTTGTGGCATTGGATTATGGTGCATAACTAAAGCATTGAGGTTCTGGACCTAGAGCAATTATTGTCTTTTAATAGAAGTGTAAAAAGTTTATCTTATCTAAAATAGTTTATTTTTTTTTTTACACATGCAAAGAAACTGTTTGGCTATTCAATGGAAGTTTGACGTCCGTGGATAGTAAAGTAAACTGATATTATAGTATATTGTGCGGCAAGGATGTGAAACGAGCAATGATTTCGGTTCACTGAAGACTGACATTGTATTCTCGCACGAGCCACATTTAATATATTTTGTCACACTTCTCATATATATTATTGTGGCGATGGTAATTAGCAAGGCTGGGAATAAGTTAATGATATTTTTGATTCAGTTAAGTTTAGTTAGTTGAGTTAATATTCAACTAAGTTAACAATTAAGTTAATGTACATGAGAATTACATAAATTAAGATAAAAATTAAGTTAAAAAATATGATTAACATAGCTTAACTTCTATCAATAAATTAAGTTAATAATAAAAAAATAAATAAATATTTAAATTAAGCACTGATTTATGTGTTATATATATATATATATAAATAATTTACAGTAGATCTTATTTTACGTTAATGATAATGAAAATGCAGAAAAATCTTATTAGACTCTAATTAGAGTAGAAAAATATACTTTTCTTTATTGTTATTGTTTTTAAGCACTCAAATGTCAAAATTTATGGTAATTTATGTATCGTTTGTTTTTATTAATTTTTCATACAAATCACACATGATAAATATAATTCAAAAAAAGTATTCTTTTTAATGTTCAATAATAGTATAAAAACTAAAAATAATTACTGCAGTTAAAAATGTAACTATAAAACTACACAGGAAATATACAGTATACAGTATACTGTATACAGTTGATACAAAAAATTAAATTAAATATAAAAGATTCTTTCATTTTATTAAAATCTATAACAAATAAAACAATACAATGGACAGATTAATCAAAATACCAATTGAATCTCAATAAAAGAGTCATCTCAAAATGTTTATCAGTTATTAAATTTTTTCTCTTATTCAATAATATTTAACAATAGAGTACAATTATTATAAATAATTATTTAGTCAATGATAATATGTACCTATCTTTGTATTATAGATTTACGACTACTTTTTATGACAATGGTAATGTAATTCATTGGTGGCATGGCTATTTTTACTCAATAGTCTAAAGACGGTTGAGTACTTTTCTGGAGACCGGTGGGACCCCTATTAATAGTTAATACCGTGATAAATATTATGGTCTCATCTAAAAATTCTTCGACATTTTTATTTTTATATTTTTCTAAATTCCTTAAACTTGTTATCGAATGCGGTATTATACAAAAATATTTTTCTGGTCTTGCAAATCAAATGAAAAAATAATACAATTTAATTTCAAGTTAATTTGTAGGAAAATGAATTAAGTTAATAACTTAAGTTAATTTATTACTTATGAAATAAGTTAAGTTAATAAGTTAAATTAACTTACTTTTTAACTTATCAACTAGTTAATGCCCAGGCTTGGAAATTAGTAACAGTGCATTCATCATGACACCATGATTTATTTTTTTTGGCTACGTTTTTTTGTTATTTTCATAATTTATTAATAATTATTAGGTATTCAAAAATGTTATTTTGCTAAGCACAGCGAATAGAAAAGTACTCTTTTATTTATTTTTGTTCCGCGAACAAATAATTATGATTGTTCAATAACTATCAAGTGTAACTCGCTATGGAATCAATGTCTTTTAAAGTCTAAATCACCCAAAATAACATTTTAAATAAAACTTTATCTAATACATATAATATATAAAACTCTTGAAAAATAAAAAAACAATTATCTATATTTGTATTCAATTTTTTCTTCGAGCCCTTATAAATCTTTTTTATTTATTAAAACAGTGTATCAAAACTGAATTAAATATACTAGTAATTAACTACATATAAAAGTAGATTTATATGAAAGTTTATTATTAATGAATAATATAAAAGAATAATACTCTTTTTTTTTTTTTTTTTTTTTTTTTATTATATAATATATCCGCGGCTTCTATGGCCATTGGACGTTACAATTTTTTTTTTTTTAACTAAACTTAATACATAAAATAAACAAATAGATTGGTGCAGGTTGGTTACAGGAGGTTGATGAGGTGTGTATTTGTGAGGAATGGCAGAGCTTGACGATATTGTCTGGTTTGGGGATTAGTGATTCTGCCAGGTGATAAGATATCTGCTGCTTAATTCTCTCCATATTGTGTGCGTTACATTCGGTGATAATATGTTTTACTGTAAGAGGGACTCCACAGCATATGCAAATGGGAGGGTACTCTTTTTTCATTAATTGTGCGTGTGTAATAATACTCTTAAATATCACAAGAATTACATGTGTAACATGTACCTAGTTTAACATGCAGTCAATTATTTGTCCGAATTCTTGGATTATTACGCTCGTATAGTTTGCGTTATTTTATGATTTTCAGTAGGTTTGATTTGATACGAAGCTACTACGATTTTGTATACTTCTAAATTATTTCATTGATAGGAAGGTAACTGAAATAGCTCTGATCATTTCAATATGGTCAGCAAGACGGCAATTAGAAAAAATAAAACCTAAAAAAAATTCGTTACTTAAATTTTGGTTTTTGCCAATTTTAATCCCTTTAAATCAAAATTATTCAAAATATTTTCTTAATGCACGTCTACACTCTAATATAAACATACTCTGAACATTTCAAGTTACTAGCTACCATAGTTTAAGCTGTGTATTGATTATGAATCAATCCGGATTTTTTCGTTTTTATAACTGCATCCGAATTGGATCCCGAATTTAAAATTACTTCATTATTTGGGTTCCGAATTATTTTAGGTACTATACTAGGTGGGTCCCGCATTATTTTAGGTGTTACACTAGTTGAGTTCCGGATTTTTATAAGTACTACACTAGTTCCTGAATATTTTTTGGTAAGTACTATATTATAATAACATTTTAACAGACTTAGGACTGTCTATGATCTTTATAGACCACAAGTACGGTTAAAAATGTTTTTTATAGTTTTTTTTGTTTTTTAGTTTCTTTTCCATTAATTTTTATTTATATTAATTAATGGTTTTAAAATTTTTAATATTTTTACCAACACAATTCTAATAATTTATATTTCAATGGAAAAGAAACTAAAAAACAAAAAAAAAAAACTATAAAAACCATTTTTAACCATACCTTTGGTCTAAATACATCATAGACAGTCCTAAGCAGGGGAGGATCCAGAGTCGGGGAACTGTGGGTCAGACCATTTCAAGGGGCCATTTATTAGGGATGAAACTGAATTATAAATGAATACCTTGTAAAAAAAAAAAAACACAATATGCTCATAAAAGCGCATAAGTATATTTATATTACATTTTAGAATTAGTGATACCACCGATAATGACATATTTACGATTAATAAATATAATTTAATTTTATCAGCGCAACAAACGTGCGGAATAAAATATGATTTATTTAAATTTCTACTAAAACGATATAATTTAAAATATAAATTATGAATTTAAAAATTTTAAATTTTGAATTTACATGGCATTCATTTTTCAAGTAACTCCGATGGGCCAACTATCCAAGAGTCCAAATCAAGGTCTAAAAAGAACAAAAAATTTCCAAGAGGCCAATTTTGTCAACAAATATTAACTGTGGGTCAGCTAACCCCCTGAACCTCCCCCTAGATCCACCCCTGGTCCTAAGTCTGTTAAAACGAGAAGGAAAATGTTAGTATAATGTAGTACTTACCAAAAAAAATTCAGGAAATAGTGTAATGCCTAAAATAATTCAGGACCCAACTAGTACACTACCTGGGATTAGCCCCTAGTACTCGGGTCCCAACTCGGATGCTCCGGTTTTTATAAAAGAATTATTTTAAAGCCATATATTATTTTTAAGCATTGATTCTGTTTTTATCATATTATCTCTCTCAATATTTAAAATAAACAATTCGGTAAAATATCAATATACCTTTATTATTATAATTTTTATCTACAAAACCATTGCACATTAGATAACGCCACTGCATGCCAGTTTCAAAAATCCGAACACCCTAATGAGGAAACCGACGGGACGAGCGGTTCAGGTGGTCGACCGTCGGAACGGGACGAACCGTACAGGTGTACACGGGCACACTATAATACAGGTGTACTGGCGTGCGTGGCGGGGATTACCGAACGCGTTTCTATTACGTTGCGCAGGTGGCTCACTCTACCGGACCGTTATACTGTTAGCGACCGCGGTACTGTAGGAGTGGTACCACCATCGCCACCGTCACCGCTACGACCACGACCGCTGCGCGCGCCACTGGCCACTATAGTACCGATGCGGCGGTCTGCCACCATCTGATCGCGGATTCTTTCTTTCGGGAAAGCACTATAATAGTAATAGTAATAATAATAAATAATAATACTGCTCTTGCGCGCACGCACGCACATATGCATGCACGTACATTCGTACACACGAATAACACGGTCCATTATCTATAACATAGTATTGTCCCACGTTTCTTTTATTTTGTTTTCGTTCGGTTTACGATTTTTTCCCGTGCGGTACGGTCGCTGCAACCGCGTGAGAACCGATCGTCATCGTCAACTCATTAACGTAACATGGGTATCGTCGCGCAACGGCGACAACAGCACGCACACCGCAGCGGACCGTAGACGGTAGAACGCGTACGCACCGCCTCGTCGTTCTTGTCGCACTCTGCACGCCCGTCGTTGTCGCAGCAACTCGGCCGTTCGTACGTCGCCCGCCGCGCGCCATCCGTCCCGCGTCGTCTCCGACTGGACATGGTCCGTGGCCGACCGGTCGGCACTCACAGATCCCGCCCGATCGCGGTGTCCAGCGCCGTACCAGCCGCTCGCCAGCAGTGGTCAGCAGACCGTAGGTGATCGTTTTTCTTTCCGCCACCGACAGATCCATCGACCATGGCCTGTCTGAACGTATTGAAACAAGAGATCAAAGTGATCGAGGCGACGTTCCCTAAGGACCACGACCGGTTCCAGGTGCACTTGGCCACTGTCGACGAGGTGATATGCAAGTTTGTCGGACCCACAGGTCGCCAGTTCGAGATCATTGGTAACATCACGGTAAGCTTCTCTTCGGTACTATTTTACTTTTTCATTTATCATCTACCGTTATTGTAATCTTGTTTTTTTCACCAATTGCGTAGGAAACATATCCCAGTACTCCGCCTGTCTGGTTTGCAGACACTGACGATAGTAAAGTGACCAATGCCATCGAAAAACTTGGTGAGACCACAGGTCACAATAATCATGTAAGTACCTTCACCTAATTCTGATTATCACTTGCCACTACCAAACCGTAGTTTTATGTTGATTGGTGAAAAGGATGCCCTTTGGGTTCCCATGCGAACAAACCAAATATGTGTTTTATCAAATTTTATTTATTCGTCATTCTACTGATTGCTATGTTTCTCATCAATGTCTAAAATATGTATTGTCATACATTAGAAAATACTCCTTAACGTAACAAGCATATGTTACAATCATTATTAGATTCCATTATTATTTGCAATCAATTTTAATATAATTGTTTCAAATTTTTAAATATTTCCACATTACTTTCATAGATAACTTTTGTATTAAGTAAAATATTTAATAAATGTTTTTTCTTATTGGTGGATGATAAATATTTTTATTTGCTACTACAGTAAGTTTCATTTTATGTGATCACTAGTTCATAGAATTAATTGTTTATTGGAATCAAAAATAAAAATCCCAAATCACATTGTATGTTACTAATATTAAACTGATCTTTTATTCAATTCATTATTTACCGGATAATTTAATACATTTTATGAACATTCTTACCATTTTTAGGGTATTTATCAAATTGATTAATTTCTAAGAACCATTTTATTTTTAAACTTATCAATGTAACAATGTATTGTATGTCGTGTACTTGTTTCTTTTAGTTAATTGTGGTATGTGATCAAACATTTTTCTTAAATGTCAAGAAAATGGAAAGATTAGTCTAAAAAAAAAGTAAAATGTCCTCGTTCGTTTTGATAAGTTTTTTTATACTAGAATAATCTTAAATGCAGTTGAAAATAGATAGTTTTTCTAATTTTTTTTAAATTATTTAAAATTATTTATTTATTTTATTTTAGTTTTATTTTAAATATACAGTATAAATTAAGCTTGAACCTCTGAATCAGAATATATCAAACATTTTTATCAACCAAATTCAAGCATTCGAGATGTGAATTCACCGCGAAATATTAAAAATTAATTGGTGCAATCACATAACTAATATCAATGTACTAGAATGAATGAATAAAGATCTTGAAGTAGTGAAAACAATAAAATCACAAACATTTCAATATTTAGGATATATTATGCAACATCCTAAAAAATATAGTCTACTACAATTAATATAATTCAGTGTAAAATAATTGAAAAAAGTAACTATGAAAGACCTCAAATTCCTTGATTGGACAATCTCAGAGAGTAGTTCAATACATCTATGATATCTTTATTCCAAACAGCCATTAATAAAGATCAAATTGCTAACATGATTGCCAATGTCCGTTAATGAATATGAAACTCGAAGAAAAAGATACATTATTAATAATATTTATATATATAATTTTTTTAATCATGATTAAAAACATTTTTTTTATGGATTCATCCGGTTATTAGAATCTAAATCACCTTAACCAATGTTATCACATTAAGTGGAGCTCACTGAATTTTATTTTATATCTGAATACAAAATTAATTATTACATTTTTCTTATACATTGTTGCATACAAAACATAATTTTATTTGAAAACAAGCAGATTTTAATTATTTTTATTTCATTTATCAATTAAGTTCTGTTAGGTATTATCTTATAATATTTGGTTGTATACAAAATATTCAATTGAATAAAATATATTTTAAATGTTCATAAATTATTTAGATAATTGTATAAAAAACTTATTTTGTTAAAATTGTTTATTTATACATATGAACATATAATATGATGATTTTATAATGTTATAGGGTCATATAATCATAATTGCAATCAATACTTATGTCTTTTTTTTAACATGTGGTTATTGCCATTTGTATGAATGAATATGATACCCCCCTATGGAAAAAGAGAAAAGCATTATTAACTATTGTTGACTTGTTTTGAATAATTATGTAATAATTATGTATCCATGTATGATTTATAAATTATTTTTGTGATTAAACAATATTAAAACAGCTCTAAATAGGAATTTAAATATTATGTTCTGACATTTAAAGGTAAAAACTAAAATAATGTAATATTATCTCATGATACTTCATAGTAGCTATTATTTTTTTGAGTTGGTTTACCTATGAAATGTTTTATAAAAAATTAATATTTATAGTCATCTATATTTTGATTTGACTTTAACCATGTCATGTTAGCTATTATAGTCATTTTCAGCTATTATTTATATGAGTATATTTTAATATAAAAGTAATTTTTGTTATTAAAATACAGTAAAATGTTTGTTACTGTTTACACTTAAGATTATTATTATTTTTTTTTTAATGATAAATAAATAACTAAAATTGATATAAATGAATATTATTTATTTGTACTTTTATTTTTATGTTGTATATACAATTTCAATTTTAAGAGTAGTGATTGCATTTGTTATATGATTAACCTTTTTTAACTATAATTTACCATTATTTTTTCTTATTATTTATATAGGTAATCAACCAAGTTGGAATATTGATTAGTGAACTTTGCCGTACATATTGCTTATCTGAACCGTCCGAGCTACAAAGACTGATACAAATGCCCTCCAGTTCTGGGGCATCAACCTCTACCTCTTGTTCAAGTAAACTTACAGATGAAGAAGATGATGATGATGATGAAGAAGAAGAAGTTGAAGAGTATATTCAACTTGAAATGGAAGAGCCTATTCCAGAATCTACTAAAAAACAAGTAAGATATTCTTATCAAAGTTTTTTTTTTTTTTAATTTTTTCTTTTAAATAATCAATTTAGGTTGATGACATGGAAATTCAACACTTGGAAACATTGGAAAGATTACGTCAGAATCAGCGTCAGGATTACTTAAAAGGAGCTGTAACAGGATCTGTTCAAGCTACTGACCGTTTGATGAAGGAGCTTAGAGATATATACAGATCAGATAGTTTTAAAAAAGGTAACAATTAATAAAAACTGGTCCATGTCAGCTTATAACATTTGTCCATTATAGATTATTTCTAAGTTGTAAAACAACAAAAAATTTTATTCTTACTTATATTAGGCGATAAATACTCTCCAAATTTCATAGTTAGCATATCTATTATATTTTTCAAGCAATAACTAAGTATATTTAAAGGTATATACGATACTTAATTTTAATAATAAAAATCTTATTTAAAATAAATTATATAATAGTGAACATGTACTATACGTATACAAAGAAAAAATGCCGTAATTTGAAAAAAAATAAAATGAGATAGTATTCTCTTACGTATAACATAATAGTTTTACACGATTTTCTTAAGTAAAAATGCCGTAACTCTAATTATTTATCCAGATATAGGTCTTTAAAAGAAGATGATATTGCCACAATTGTAATTAAATATTATTGATACTTATCAAAAATGCCGTAAACGCAAATTGCTTAAAAAGATTGCCATTATCTTATATCATATACGGCGGTTTTACTAAGTACTTTACTCATAATCTATATTTACGGCATTGTTGTTTAGGAAACATGTCGAAATAATGCCATATCTAAAAAATTTTATTTTAAATTACTGATAAATGATAATGTTTGGGATTTCACTGTTGTACACTGTTATTCACCACAGACATATTTGGTTCACTTCTCTATAATATTTGGTTAATATTTTAGTGATTAGTACATTTTTGTATGCTAGGTAAAAAATGGTAACTGGAATTATGGCTTTTTTTACTTAGTAAACAATTTTAAATAATTGATGGCGTTCTTAGTATAAATATCAAAATCAGAATATTCCAATAAAATAAAATTTGAAAATAAAATTGAATAGTTCTATTGTATTCATCAGGTATTTTACTAATAGAAATTATATATTTTACTTTGAAAAATATTATATTTATGAAAATAGAACAACCAATAATTACAGATCATTAAAATGAATTTTACTCAAAATGGCATGTAGGAAATTTACAACAATTTTCTTTAACAGGGCAGTTATAAACATGTGTTATTTAATATTTTTTATATGCTAAATAGAGAATATAATCAAAGAAAACATTTTTTTTTATAAGTTAAAGGAGTAATGATTTTTGAAAAATGTTCCTATATCAAATATTTCTATTTTATCATTGTGTTATTTTAATAAAAATCTTTTGATAAAAATATAAATGTATTAAATTTAAAGAAAATCATTTTGCTTAAAAATAAAATAACTAAAGGATGTATGTTATTAATTACAAATTCTTTATTGTTGCTAGTTTTAGTTTAATTATAATAAATATAAACTTTCATATATTAAAGTGTTTCCACAGTTTAATTTCCTAAAGATATTTAATCCAATAATATTTAATATCAAAACTAAAATCATTATATATTTACTATTGTTTTTTTTTTTTTTTTTATTGACATTTTCTATATTATTAACTAATATTAAATATAATAGTCAGTACTATCAGTTTTTTTCTAATTTTTACTATTACATTAAATTAAAAAAATTTAGTAATTTGAAGAATTTTAGGACCTTTAAAATTTTAATACATTTATTTATAATTATTTATAAGTAAACTATTTTTCATATTTCCATATTATTTTTTTATGTAATATTTTTTTCACATATTCTACAGTTTCTAAATGCTATTTAAAGCTTTATAATATATATATACACTATAGTTTCATTAATAAATTATAAATAAATATCATTTATTGTAATATTAATGGTAATTAAATGATGATTCTGGTTTTTAATCTTGTTAATTAATTGTATAACATTTTTTACTAAGCTACATTCATCTTTACATTATTGCACAAATTATTATAATAAGACTTCTCAATATCGATCATATACTTATACTATAATTATTATAATAATTATATTTTATTACTTAGGAATGTACAGTGTAGAACTTGTCTGTGACAGCATTTATGAGTGGAATATAAAACTTATGACAGTTGATCCAGATTCTGCTCTATATCATGATTTACAAAAATTGAAGGAGAAAGAAGGAAAAGACTTTGTGCTATTAAATATAACATTCAAAGAGACATATCCCTTTGAACCACCATTTGTACGTGTAGTCCATCCTATTATTCAAGGTGGCTATGTCCTAGTTGGTGGAGCAATTTGTATGGAACTACTAACCAAACAGGGATGGAGCTCAGCATACACAGTAGAAGCAGTGATTATGCAAATTGCAGCTACTTTGGTGAAAGGAAAAGCCAGGATCCAATTTGGTGTGCCAAAAACAATGAACCAGGTATCACATGGGACATATGCAGTAGTATGTTCAAATTTATTATAACTATACATAGTGCTTTTGCAGAATTTTAAAAAATAAATGATTTACACTTAATCTAAAATGCATGTTTATATTTTTAAATTAGGGTCAGTATTCATTAGCCAGAGCACAGCAATCATTTAAATCTCTTGTGCAAATACATGAAAAAAATGGTAAGTAATTTCAGTTTACTGATCTTAATAATTACATTTGAAATGATTAATATGCATATCAAAATAATGATTTTTACCTAAAATAACTAAAAGTTATTAGAACTATGATACCTGATTAATTCCTTTAGTTTTATATTATATGTGAAATTATCTTTTATTAGATTTGAAATATTGATTTTCTTGTTTTTAATGTGTTTTATTTACTTTTTACTGATCAAATTTGTAATTAAGTAATGAAATTGTAAATTTATAAATATTAATCACAATTTACCACTTAAGGTATTTTTTTTTAAATATTTTAGTGGTTTATTATTTTATTAGTAGGTTGTATAATTTAGTCATGAATGAAACAATAGTTACCTTGTATTTTTACTGAATTAATATAATCAATAAGGTAATGTATTAATTATTTTTTGGTTATATTAAATTACTTCTCACATACATTATTATGGTTTACTAAATTTAAATTTTCTTTATTTATATAAACATTGTAATTAAATATTTTTAATTATATCTTTAATTTTTTTATTTTTAGGTTGGTTTACCCCCCCTAAAGAAGATGGTTAAGTTCTAAAAGCCTTTGCACTACCTGAATTTTTCATTCCTTAAAAAATAAATATATCAAATTATATGTATCATTTGTAAAAAGAGTACGTATTTCTCCTTTACAGTATGAATTGTACGTTAATTATTTTGCTAAGCTACTTTGTATGATTGTAGAAAATAAAACTTTTATACACATCAATTTGGTAAACTAATTATATACAAGTTCAACTGTCCAGTCCTTCCGCCTGGACTTAAAAGTCCGTGACATAATTAAACTATCACAAGTCAAACTTGTATAGTTATTGGTTTAATTTGGTTGTATTTTAAGTATTGATATATTTTTTTTTTTTGTATTTAAATTAAATTTAAAGTTCAACTATGTTCATATATTTATTTTACTGTGATTACTTTTCATGTTTTTAACAAGGATTTTGATTTTTTTTTTTTATTTACCAATAAATGACATGGAATGTGTTACTGAAGTTGTGCGTTACTATTTGCTTATTCAACTAGAAATATTATTAATTTTAACACCATTTTGTAAAAAAAAAAAAAAAAGTATATATTACAATAAATTGATAGTAATATCTAAGGCATATTATAAATTTATACATATATTTTTATGTTGCAATGCTCAAAAAATTACTCTTACTGCTTATATATAGTATAATGTATAAAGAATAAGTCACGTGATTTATTATGTCTGTATACTTCTTAGATTTAATGAATATACACACATGATTCATCAGAGTTTTTTTTTTTTTTTTGTAAAATTTAATGTTAATTATATTACTTAATTTAATTTTATATAATTTGTATTGGCAAATGGAAGAAATAGTAAGAATTTACATATGTACTGTACTAGTAATAATTTAAGAAAAATTAGTACAATGTGAGGCATTATTTCATGAATATTTGAATTTGTCGTAACTAAAGTTTATACTTTGATCATATGCTGCGAGTTATTGTGTCGCATATGTATGTATTAAAAATTGTAATGTATGATTTGTACATATTCATTATTTTTAAGAGACTGCATCACTTGGACTACTGTCCGTTTTATGAATGAGCTGTAACTATATTTTCAATACAGTTTATCGTAATATAAAATATTGTTTTATTAACAAATAATTTAGTTAAATACATATTTTGTTGTAAGAAAAAAAAGAAGTTAATTCCTCCAGTCCATTTATAAATATTGTTTATTCATATTGCTGATTATGGTCAATTATTTCAAGTGATATAATTAAATAAGTTAACAGTTAAATTATTAATTGTTCAAAAATGTCGTAATTATTTCCACATTACAAGTGAACTCTTGTAATTCTATATTGTTATAGACTTCTCAATTAATTTTATCCTGTTACTGCGTCTTATATTTTAGGGAGGAAATGTAAGTGATATTAATGTTTTGTTCATATAATTTTTGTTATGTATTATATTCAACATGGTTTTATGTTTTTTTTAATGATGTACAGGTAATAATTAAAGAACATTTGGTTATCTTATTTGAAGTCTTGTAACTTGTTAAGTATTTGAATATTTGATGACCAGATCTCCAGATAATTGCTATTTAAATACTTTTCACTGTTTCAATTATTGTTTTAGATATTTTACTTTTTGAGTATGCGACAGGTAATTATGTTTAAAAAAAAAAATACATTTTATTGCCATCATTATTGGCTTATTGCATTTGATATGTATAAGTATATATTAAAACTAATAGTTATTTCTTTTTATGAAATATATACACAAAATGAAAAACGTAAAATATTCTATAAACAGTGATACGGCTAGTTGCCTATCGGATTCCGTGTATCTGAGTGATACCCGTCATAAAATATTTGTTTCATATGGCATAGAATATATTTATTTTATATTTTTAATCCTTCATTTAGTTGATAACGAAGTGCGTACTGCTATTATGAAAAAAGATACTTCAATATAGTTCTTTATACATTTAAGTAAATTTTAATTTGATTATGTTTAACAGCAAATTTGCTACATCTGGTTTTTATTTATTTGGAAAATTTTAATTTCTATTTAAATAATTTAAGTAATATATGTTATACAAATTTTCTATTTACACGTCATGTACCTATTTATATAAATTACATTTATTTAATTTTCAAAATATCTAACTTTTAAGGCTATTGGAGGATATTTGAAAATTTCATGTTTTTTTTAAAAAAATGCCTGGAAAGTGTATTTATTTAATAATATTTATATAGTATATTTCATTGCATATTTTCAATAAAATAAATGCATATATTTATATTTTTTATTGCATTTACCTAAATCAGCTCTAATTAAAATACTGATAATTTAAAATTGACTCCGTAAGCTATCCCTACTGATTAATGGTTTTTTTGTAACCATCATATATACGGGTAGATGTTCACCTATAATTATATAAGTAATCAATATTTAGCAATAAGTAAAAGTTACAATCGTGATAAATTTCTTTCCTATTTCCTAGAAAATTTTTTAAAAATTCCTTTACCTAAGTAATTAACGGATATTTTATTAAATTGAACATTACTCATCGTGAAATGGTGAACAAAAATAATTTCATCTAAGATGTCATTAATTTATTTGGAATGAAAAGAAGAAATTTACAATTTTTATTTTCCGATACCGAATAACATTTGATTATATTTTTTTCGATTTTTTTTCCAGTATCTACTTAAAATGTTTTTTAATTAATTATTACATACCATGAAAATATTAATTATATAAATAATAGCATATTTATATTTATATTTTGAAATAATATTAAACCTTTATTTATCTTAAATTTGAAAATTTTTTTTAAGTTTGCCCCCCCTGAAAAGTTATTTATTTATGCATATAACACTCGGCATGAGCTACTCGTATTATTACAGAATTAATAAGTTGGTATATGTATAGAATGGGTGTAACACGTTTCCACCAAAAGTAGACCTTTTCGTTTTCCACCAATACCCGTTTCCACCAAAAGTGTATCTTTCGGTTCCTTTTCCACCAATATCCGTTTCCATTAAATAAGATAAAATACTTATACTTTTCATAAGTTTTTTCGGATTGATGTAAAATATATATAAATACAATATAATCAATGTACATTGTACATTTATTGTATATAATTGTATGTTAAACCGTTATCGTACTTATGCATGTACTTTTATGCCTATTAACCATTATAATATCTAAATAATCAAATATTTTATGAACAAGTGAAAAGATGGCACAGTTTAAATAGTGCATTACAACTGCGTGTGTGTTAAAATAAAACGTAAATTTTAAAATTTATAGTTCTATGATGGCTAAAGTTATCGAAAGTAAACGTGGAAATTAAACACTAGTACTAAACAACTTTAAATTTTTTGTTGGATCAGTTAACAAATGTCAACTAATTACATATATATAGTTACAATTTACATAACTAAGGTATCGTATATCACAATATATTATTTTTTAATTTTTTTATATCTGACCATTTTTTTAAATAAAATTTAACATTTTCCAACCTATATTGTATATATTATATAATGCCTTTACATTTATTGAATTAATAGTATATGTTAAATAAAGTTATTTCTGTGATATAGCTTTTAATTTAAGCGTAGTATACAATGGTTTCGGTAAAAACGTGGTTAATATCTCATTTGGTGGAAACGGATATTGGTGGAAAAGGGAATGATACACTTTTGGTGGAAACGGGCATCACCATATAGAATATAAGATAAAATAAAACAGAATATCTAATAACGAAATCAAACTACAATAATAATTGTATAAAATAAAGGATAAAATAAACAAAATAAAACAAAACCGATTAGAAAATGTTAATTGAACATGTTCTTTAAACAAAGCTGTTAGAGTAGAATATCAAGTTCCTTTAGCCATTTGATCGCCATTGGTCCACATATATGCTGTGTTGCTACCCTCCTTCAAATCTTGTTCTTTGGCATTGCTCAAAGATATGGCTTATAGTCTGTGTTAGGCCGCACTCGCACAACGGAGAATCGGTCATGCCCCATTTCTGTAATAGATAATTACACCTACCTTGCCCAGTTCTTATACGGTTCAGGGGGCCTATTCTCAAACGCATCGAAAGTGATGATCGAATAGAATAGTTCGATTGACACTATTCGATCATAAAAGTTCATTCGACACAGAATATTCGATCCATCGTAATCTCAAACGACTTTCGAATGTTGATCATCGAATAAAGTAATATTCAATACACTATTCGATAGACGAAAAAAATCATTGCTTTTTCCATGATATTATCTATTAAATTGCATTATCTTACGTAATAACATTATAATGTATTGTTATTATTACAAATTTTCGTCTTTTATTTTTATAACATAAATTAATGAATTGTCGATAAAAACAATATTATTGTGACTGTATGATCGACGATAACCGTCAGCCGGCCAGCCCCAGCCGACTCATAGAGTATACTTATTTATAATCCGCCCCTCCCGTTATGGTAGGCTGGATCCGCGCCTACCGTGGACCCAATTCACGTAGTATCAAATGTGACCATGGACCTAATTTGAGTATTATTAAAGAACCGCGGACCCAAATCGTGCTTTTTTAAGCAATCAAATATCTCGGGACCCAACTAAAAAGTTTCCTTTACATCAATGTATATCTATATAATTTAAATCACTAAAATGTTATTGTAAGTAGGGTGTAGATTTTTATGTAATAAAAAAGTCAAAATATGTAAATATTTATGTTCTTATTTTTGCTAAAATATTTATTAAAAAACGTAAGATATTTAACAAAAAAAAATTGGTATAATATACCTATTTTTTTTTTCCCAAATTTATTCTTCTGATAACGTATGTTGCTTATCAAAGTTATCATTTTTTAAAAATTGTCTTGTCAGTTTAATTCTAAAATGTTTAACCTTTCAATTTTCGTATAATGTCCATGACTAAAATTTCAGTTGATACAATCCCGAACTGTAACCCATTATGTTACCTCCCAGTACTTTACTTCTGCGTCATGTGCATAAACCTATTGCAAATGTCATAGAACGTGCGAAACAGTCTCCTGTATTTCGATCATTTGCATATATGCCACCTGCTTAATTTTACAATTGGTGCGAAGTTAAAATGAAAATGTATTTCACGAATCTTAGTACTGATGGCAAGGTCAAGCCCTTGAGTGAAACCATGGCCAGTGAACTTGGGTCGAATCTACTGTGGTGAATGTGCGTAGTATGCATGGGGCTCATAAAATTGTTTTTGAAAATAATTTCAATTTTTTTTTTCTCATTAAGTAGTGATAAATATATTTGAAAAAATGTTTGTTAAATTCTCAAGATAATTTTTTAAACCAAAACGATTTACGATTATTATTTTTCGAGTTACGAAGAAAAATAATATACGTACCTATATTTTATTTTGTCAAATATACCGTACATAAATGTTGCCTTTTTTTATAACTTATCGTCAGTATTTCTCAATTATTAAAAACTGTTGAGAAATTATGTAATCAACCTCTTCAACATACCAACTAGACAACATTTTCTATATAAAATCTTTAATAATTGTGATTATCATTTTGGTTGAAATTGTGTACACAAACACAAAATAAAACACATCATATTTAAGCCAATACATTCCACATTTCACTCAGAATTTAAAATACAACGGTGTAGTAATGGAGAATAGCAGTTACATGATTTAATAATAATGTACTATGTATTATTATTATAACAGGTACATTACAATATTAATAATAACAGCTAACAGAAATCGTGTAAAATAAATAATGATTTTTCCAAATATAATTAAATATAATTTTTGATATAATTTCTTAACAGAATACAATATAACGTACTAAATTATAAATTAATCAGTTATTAATATAATATTTTATATTATAACTATTGTGATAAATAGGTGGACTGTACTTGGACTCTAAATTGTTTTCAGATGGTGGAGGTGTAGATGAAGGTGATGACAATATTTATGGCGAATTATTATACTTCTCTTCCACATCACTCATTATCTCTAACAACATCGCTGCAGCAGCCTGACCTTCTTCTGCCATAAGTATTTCATCAACCGTTAAACTGATAGGTTCAACTTCAATTTGCCTCTCTTGTACTATTTCTTCTTCCGTCTAAACAATATCAGTTATAATTAATTTTGGTTCTAATTTTATGGCATCTAAATTGGTTTTAATTGATTCTTCTTGAATCAAATCAAGTATAGGTGTTGAAGGTGGTGGTGGCGGTGGTGGTGATGTTGGTGTAGTTGGAGATGGCTCATGAAATACCTCTTTTTTAATCAATGGAATACTAATTGGTTCTGATTCAATTGATTCTTGTTTTACTGTAATATTATCAAATCCATCCAACTGCACAGGAAATTTTACATCTAATTGTGAAGATGAAGATGAAGATGATTGTGCTGATTGTTTACTAACCTTTGTTCGTTTCACTCGAGACCGATCGCTAGTTGCTGACCTCTTTTTCTCATTTCCCAATGAAACAGCTGGTTTTATCTGTTCTTTCATTAGGTCAAGTCTTATTTGTTCTTTTTCCTTAAATAAAAAAAAAATAAGTAAAAATATTATACCTGTCATAAATATTAAATTGTTTTAAAAAATATACTTGTTCAATTTTCTTCTGTTTTATCTTATAAGATAACAACATTTCTCTATACATATCTTCAGTTGGATCAAAATGATTACTCATAGGCAAAGCAATTTTAGACAAATCTAGACGTTCAGAGAGTAATTTTTTTAATGTATTAAAACGGTTAATACGTTGATTTTTTTCTGGAACATCAATTAATAACACTAATTAAGTACATTAACAGAAATTAAAAAATATTTCTTTAAATAATCCATACCTATATTTTTTGTTTGAGAGTACGTCTTAACAAAGATTTCATTTTAACAATATCAGGACGATAATATCCATTTTTTAATTTGTCATGAAAATCATCAATTGGATTAACTCCAAATCGAAAACTTTGACCACCAAAAAGCATTCTTAAAGTGATTTCTTTTTCCATTAAATCATTTTCAGGAAAAGTTGGAAGAAAATTCTACAAAAAAAAAAAAAAAAATGTTAGTATGTTTTACACTTAATTTCATTTTTTATAAGTTTTATTTGTATAAAGGTGAGTTTCTGTTACACAATTATACCTTTAAATGTTGCTTTTGTTGGTCACTTAAGCATACCCAAGAATTAACAGAAAAAAGTTGCTTGAAAACTTCTTCATCTTCGCACATTCCAACAGGTAAACTAAGCTCAGTTTTATTAGCCACTACAGTTTCAGTTTTGAGTGATATAGTTTCGTCTTCATCTGCAGTACTAGTACTTTCAGAATCAGAGCCTGACTGACTACTACCACTACTACTGGATGCAGATGTACTCGTGCTAGATGTTGATGTTTCAGAATCGTCGTCACTATCATCCTGTTCAATTTCAGGAGACGACAATTCTTCTTCATCTGTATTTGAAGTTGATTCTTGCGGCCAATTTTCATAATTATTATACCCCGACATTATTGAGTCAAAATATAATTACTGAAATTAGTATAAAAAATATTAAACCAATCACTAGTTTCAAAGTTAATACTAACATAAAATTTTCATAAACAATTTATATTTTTAAATTACCTAGGTAATATTCAATTTTTTTAAAAATGTTATAAATAAAATATTGGCTATAAAAAAGTAGTTCAGAAGACACTTTGAAATTTTTTGTTTAAGTATTAAAATCTGTTTTCAATAAATCACAAACAAAAATAAAATATAAAATAATATTTCTATATAAATTACTTTACATAATTACTTTCCATCGAACATGTTAATTGATTAAAAAAACTACCAATAGTAAATTATTTAGAAAAATAATGCGGATAAAAGATATAACTAAAATATTAAATAAATTGATTAATAAATAAATGATTGCTAGTTATTAATATTTACTTGGTATCTAATTTATATTATTAAGTAAAATATCATTACACTTTTATGTTCTTATCATTTTAACTACCCTCAATAAAATAGTAGTTATTCTATTCATTATTATTTATCTTAATATTTTGGTATGACCCTTAGTTTAATATATTTTTATATGTATACATTTATAAAGTGTGTCACCAATTAGGTATTATCTGTATTATACTATCACATTACATTGTTTAAGGTTTTCATCCATTTATTGTTAAAAAAAATAAATAAACAAATAAAAAAATGTACCTTATTATGTGGGAGCTGTATCCCTCATAGAAATTTCTGTAAACCCCTCATTTTATCAAAAATTAATAAATTCTAGTTTTAAATGTTTTTATAATTTTTTTAAAATTCATCAAGCTTTAAATATTAGCAGTCTTTTGTGTATTAACAATTATTGCACTAACATGATGTATGTATGATGATGTACATTGCGGATTTATTTTTGATTTTTCAAGTAAGAATTAATTATTTAACTATGTATACGCATTATATAATTATGGTAGAATTGAATAGTCCTCGAAGTAAAATGTACCGTTGACGGTAGTCAAATATCTATTATTGTTTAATATTAGGCAACATTCAGACGAGTAATGTCGTATCGACTGTCAAACGTGTCATGGGATAAATGCGAGTGTACAATGTTCATCAATATGGTTATACAATTGTACAAGTATTGTTCTTAAAAGTTTCTATCGTGATTACCACGTAAAGCTTACGAAGGATGCGATATAATCAATATAACATAATGTAATTCTTCGTAAAAATCATTAAACTTATAAATCAAAAATATCGCTATCAAAATTATTTGTTTTTATATTTATTCGGATTATGCCGACGATGATTGAATATAATCCAGAGACATTGAAATGTACTGCGGGTACGCGTATCAGGTAAAAACAAGTCAGAAAATGAAGTTGAAACGTATTACGGGTTACGATCGACCGCCCATCGGAGAATTCGATCGTAATGCGCGTTGAGGACTATGTTTTTATAGCGCTCGCACCCTGTACACGAGTTATTTCATAATAACGCATACATATCGGTGACGTTTACAGAGAGATTTAGGGGGTGGAGAACAGCAGCTGTTCCGTATACTTCGAGCAATACATAAAAAAGCCTTTATAATATATAAGCAATTATATATTTGTTTATAACTAAATATATATATATAAAATAAAAACTTACCAAAAGGATCTTCTTGTTTCATAACTCGTCTTACTTCATTAGTAATATTAATTTCGTTTTGAATTTCTAATTCATTAATTTGCATTATATTGTAAATCTCAAAATCATCATCAAATGCCATGATAAATATTTAAACATTCATTATCGTTCGCGAACTATACTCTTTTAATTATTAATTATAGATTATAGTACTAAATACGATACAAGTACGAACAATAAATTGAAAAAACTGATAAATTAGTTGATTACAGTGAAAATTGTGTGTCGAAAACAGTTTTCGACACCAAATTCACTATCGTTGTATATTGTCGAATATTCCTATCGAACTAATGATCGAAAGCGGTTTGAGAATAGTATTTTTGTTATCAATCGAAATCAAAGTAGTTTTCGATCAACTATTGATCCAAAGCGTGGTTCGATACGTTTGAGAATAGACCCCCAGGACTGTCCATTTAGTTCAAAGCCTGGAACTCTGTTATCAGGGACGCTAACTAGGAAATGGTTTCGGGCATTAGTGTTTGACCATCTGTTTGCCCACATCTCCTCTATTGATTTATTTAACCATGTTATATATAAGTACCATGCTCTATATAAGGTTTATGAATATAAGTATCTTAGGTGGATGGTTTACTATGTTTATTTGTACCGATAAGTTTTGGTAGTTGCTCAATTTCAATAACATTGACTAAGTCTGGACTTGTCTGCGTAGATATGGAGGGGCTATATTGGACAGGACCTGCTACCAATCTAATTGAGTAGATCTCACGGTGCCTGTTATTAATCTCATAGTTTCATTCAACTGTACGTCGACCTTCTTGCAATGCGCACTTCTGGCCCACACAGGAGCGCAGTAGTCTGCCACATATTATTATTAACAATTCAAAAATGTACACAATTTTATGCTATAAATGATTTTAGAGGGGATGAAACATAAAGTCCTTTATTTGTGTTTTTGGTATTATCACGATAATTAATTTAAATGTAAATATTACTTATTATATCTCACCCTCCCAATTAGTGATTAATGTGAATGATATTATATTTGTAGAGTCAAAACTAACAGGATTTGATAATGGTTATAATGTATTAGATACTTTAAAATACTTTTGACTGAATTCGAAATTTCATGTAGGCGTAGGAACTGATGGATGCAGTGTAATGACTTAAAAAATAAATTGGTGCCATAACTGCAATTTTAAAAGAATGTCCAATGGCTGTATAGGATGTAATGTAGGATGTCCATGTTTCAATAATGCGTTAAATATTTCTCTCTCTTATTTATCTTAAGTAGCTTCTGTCAGAAATACTATCAGCATACTGAAAAAAGTTATTGCATTTTTTAATTTTCTGCAAAACGGTAATTTATTTTAAAACATACAGTAAAATCCGCTTATAACGATCTAAAGGGACCTAAAGAATCAGATCGTTATATCTGAAATTCATTGTATCCGGATTACGAAAACATTATCTACGTGAGATATAAAACCGACTAAATAGGTACTTGGCTAGGAATCGTTTACCGGAATATCGTCGTATACGGCATCGTAATAAGCGGGATTCTTCTGTACTTTGAATCACAAATTAAAAGGATTATGTCAAACACGGTGGATTGAGATGCACGATGGTGTGCTACAATTTAAATCATTACTTTTAAAAGTAGTAATTTTTATTCGATACATTTAAAATTTACATTTTGTTTATTTTAGTTGGTTGTTTTTTCAAAAGGGCCCCCATACAATGAGACGCTGGATCCGTTCCAGTACCTCCATTGAAATTTCCTTAGCATGCTACTGGTAATACATGTAAGTATATAAACGTGAAAAAAATTTGTTATAGGACGGCCTATTAAATTTATTTTAGATGTTTTTATATGATAATTGACACTTGTGTTATAATAATTATCACTGATGTTAATGATCATAGTTTGGATTCTTTTTTCGAATTATATTACTTATAATCTATATTATTGCTTACAACGTTTTAAAAAATAGAATGGCCAAACGCATGGTATTTTGTTACTGTTTATTTTAATCTCGTTTTGTGATGTTTGTAATTCGGTTTCATGGTAACTGAAGGAGGACGATCAGTTATCCAGGGCAACGACGCAGAGTTAATAGTTCAAGCCTACCCAATCCTATTTAAGATTGGAATAAATTTTATTTTTACATTTCCAAATTTCCAAAATTATTAAAATCGTTATTTATTTTTTCATTTTACTTATACCAAAATTCTTGAAATGAGCTACCGAGTATCCGCAAAAAGTGACGTCGTCAAGCCAACATCGAACCTGAAGACCAACGAAAAAAGCCTCATAGAAAATAAAAAGCACAAAACGAGCGAGGTATTCATGGACGAGAATATGTGGACCGTTAAGTTACGCAAGAGCATTGGTCACAAGGCTTGCTTGGGAAAGCCCGTCAAGACGCCGAAGGAAATGGGTTGGCTGTGGTCGCTTCGCAGCACCGGTGGAGTGAAGGTACGAAATTCACTCGAAGGACCACGAATTTTAATATAAAAAAAAAATTTTAATATTATAAATTTCATTTTCGTAAAACCGGTCCCGCTCGGCCGCTAGTACTTGGCGAGCATCGTAATCGCGTATGTTCGTCGAGTATTTTGACTTGACGGTTATGTCGTTCGTACACGACTCGTACACTTACCGATCAACAAACGCGATTATTTATAATTCCTCTGGCTTGTATCAAATTTATCGACAACCGACGGGAAACGACAAGCGAAAAAAATCCATTGACTATTATGAATAAATCGATTTCCGAATAGTATGCTTGTGGCTTCTCGGGTATTGAATATTAATTTATAATAACTATACCTGGGGAATATGTATTAACACAACCTAAACTCTTGAAGTTGAAACTGAGTTGTAGTCTAGATGTTAATAAGTTTATCTGTTATAACGTTAACATCAAAATGACTTGTGGAAAAAATGTGTTTATTATTTATGTAGGAAGAGTCTAAGACATAATGCTAACTTAAGTTTATTAGGATTTCCAGAAGATTTAGAAAGATCGAGACAATGGATTATAAATTCTGGTAGATTCAAGATACCTAAATATTTTGTTCCAATACATTGTAAAGCAAATTTAAATAATATATGTATACCGGTATGTGTTTTTTTTTATGAGTATGTGTACACGATTTATAGCAGTGAAAATTCTTCAATATTTAACTTTGAGGAAAGTTTCTGGTTACAAATTGGGTGTAGTTTGTCAACATTGATAGTTTCAAATATTTTTCAAAATCACTGTAATGGATGTGTTAAGTTTGATTTAAATGATATATCATTATGTCATTGATTATATTTAAAATACGTTTTATTTTATTGTAGGTATATATAGATAGGTATATTTAATCAATGGTAGCATAATTGGGTTCATACAGAAAAAAAAAATCACATAATTTCTATGATCCGTTATTTTTTTCATTAGTTAAATATAGGC